CAATCAGAGGCAGAGGTGTTGACTTCAATGTTCACTTTTATATTTATATTCACATACGCTCTATCTCTGATATTGAGCACTTTATCTCATAAATATAGTACACCTTAAAACTATATTTCTTCATATATATATTTATATATATATATATATGAATTTTATTCCAATCTTTCATGAGTTTCCTATCCTTAGCTATGAACAATTAATGATGAACACGTCATTTTCGTTCATGACCGATTTCATCACAATTCTTCTGTTAAACTTGGAGAGTAATTATACATTCTTATTGCTCAAAGTAAAGACCATTAGTTTTATAAAAACCTCGAGAATTCCAGTAAGATATCTTTAATCATTTCTAAGATACAACGGTTCAAAGCATAATCTAACATTTGGACAATTTTGCTGTTACTCGATTTGAACAATTTTGATCTATCTATATATATATATATATATATATATATATATACAGGGAATAAACAGGACATCCCCGTTCATTTTCATTCTTTTTTCCAAACTAAATTAACTTCTACCAACCTAAGGCACCAAAAGTCTTATCAATGTGTTTGTCCTACTCGCCAGAGATTGAACATTTATCGGGCAAGTGAATGTATTAAAGGAAGTACAAGTTTGAATCTACTACAACACTGAGAGCTTATCTCTTGGATTTGATACCTTAGATCTCGCATCAGGAAAATGTATAGCTGTATATATTAAATAGAAGCTGATGAAACAGTACGATATAAAACGTTTTATGCAATCATGGTCCCTACCTCAGGTATATGATTAAAGATGCCAGTAAGTCGTATGCATTTACTTGCCAGTATATACTTGTAGATATGCTTCCAGGTGATACTGCCTATTCTGCGGTTTTATTTTAACTGATAGGATCCTAAGGCAATCTCAGCTTAGTTAATTCTAATTAGTTGAAAATAAGATTTTTTCTGCATTTTCTGATGCACTAGATTAGTTTTAGCTCTTATCAGAGAAACATTTAGCGACGCTATTCTTGGTGATGAGTCAAGTATCTTGGAGATTATCTAGAAAAAATATCTAAACGCGTCCGCCTTCGGACGAAAAATAAACACTGGGAAAATAAACAGGAGATTGACTGGCTTATAAACAGTGTGAAACAGCTTGTAAACAAATGTTTACAGATATTTAACGCAGGATTTTAAACATGGAATTTCTAACGCCCTAAATTTCCAAATGGAGCGAGTATCACTCCGCAACGATAAAAATTAGAAATCATATTAGCCCAAACTAGTAACGAGAACAATAACAATTTGGAATTTTATAGCTCTCCCATCTATCTATCTATCTATCTAAATATATATATATATGTTTGTCCTTATCTATCTATGCCTGTTCTTATCTATCTATCTATATATATATATATATATATATATATATATATATATATATATATATATATATGTGTGTGTGTGTGTGTGTGTCTGCTCTTATCTATCTATTTATGTATGCCTTTTTCTTATCTATCTATCTATATATATATATATATATATATATATATATATATGTGTGTGTGTGTGTATGTGTGTCTGCTCTTATATATCTATCTATCTATCTATCTATTTATCTATGCCTGTTCTTATCTATCTATCTATCTATCTATCTATGTTCTTATCTATCTATCTATGCCTGTTCTTATCTATCTATCTATCTTTTATGGTCCAGGTTAGGACCAAGGAAGAACAACACGTACACAAGAGCAGAAATAACGAAGGTATATTGCACGAAATAATAATACAAGATGTGGAAGATGATAGCATGACTGTCAGTCTGGTTTGGAGTGAACTACTATCGGATCGACTCGATTTGATATTTACTTGCCCCCCCCCATGAGGGAAAGATGTGGCACAAGGCCGAGTTTTACGTGGGTTTCCCGAGCCCGTAGGCTCGGCGAAAAAAATGCCTGTAAAACCCGTATAAATGGGATCGGGCTGGTCAATCTCCCCGAACGAGACTCTGCCCTTCGGCGGAGCCTCGTCCGGGTTCCTCTCTGCTCAGAAGCAGAGAGTTCGATCGTCAAGTCGAGAAGCTCGGATTGATTCGGTATCTAGCCACCCACCCCCGAGGGTTGCATGTGGCACAAGGCCGAGCTTTTACGTGGGTTTCCCGAGCCCGTAGGCTCGGCCAAAAAATGCCCGTATAACCCGTATAAACGAGATCGGGTTGGTCATTTCTCCCCGAACGAGATTCTGCCATTCGGCGGAACCTCGTCCGGGTTCCTTTCTGCTCAGAGGCAGAAAGTTCGACCGTCAAGTCGAGAAGCTCGGATTGATTCGGTATCTAGCCACCCACCCCCGAGGGTTGCATGTGGCACAAGGCCGAGCTTTTACGTGGGTTTCCCGAGCCCGTAGGCTCGGCCAAAAAATGCCCGTATAACCCGTATAAACGAGATCGGGTTGGTCATTTCTCCCCGAACGAGATTCTGCCATTCGGCGGAACCTCGTCCGGGTTCCTTTCTGCTCAGAGGCAGAAAGTTCGACCGTCAAGTCGAGAAGCTCGGCTTGATTCAGTATCTAGCCACCCCCCCCCACGAAGGTTGCATGCGACACAAGGTCATTTTATCGGGGTTTCCCCCGAGCCCGTAGGCTCAGCCAAAAAATATGCCCGTATGACTCGTAAAAACGAGATCAGGGTAGGTCATTACACCCCGAACGAGATTCTGCCCTTCGGCGGAACCTCGTCCGGGTTCCTTTCTGCTGAAAAGCAGAGAGTTCGACCGTCAAGCCGAAAAGATCGGCTTGATTCGACCCTCTCTCTTGAGAGACGTAGTATAAATAGTGTTAGGAAGAGTTCATTCTGTAGTTATAGGTAAGGACCCATGACACTATCTATCTATCTATCTATCTATCTATGTCGGTTCTTATCTATCTACGCCTGTTCTTATCTATCTATCTATGCCTGTTTTTATCTATCTATTTATCTATCTAAATAGTCTATGTATTTATCTTGACACAATTATCAACATTGAAGAGACCTATAATTTCATTGTCTGCAATACTAGCTACAAAATTACTACACCTCCCTATTTTCGTCTTCTAAGTCGTATTGGTTGTTTCTTTGCAAGAGAGACATACGCTTTAGCCATTCGATCCATCCAATGTAGCTCTACATTCATCATCAAAAATTACTGTTGAAAAAATATTTTTCATATACTTCTTCGCTCATCTTATACATTTCTCTTTATGATGTAAACCTAAATGTGCTGGGCTGATTTATTTTGTGTCTTCGTCCGATGTTCTTGATATTCTGCATCTTTACTCTCTGTTCAGATTCGCAATAAATGACTCTTCAAATGTTTTCTTTATGTTAAATCCTCTTTTTTTTTTTTGCTTCCATCTAGAGGAATGACTATTGAAAACACCCCCCTGCCACAAATTTATAGACAAATCCTACAGGTGCATGCTCGGATTTCTTCATAACCACTAAAAATGGACCAGTTCTCAGTTCCATCCTCTATATTTTTTGTTCTTTCTTGTCATGAATTCAGAACATTATATATGTTATATGAATATAAAATATTATATATATATATATATATATATATATATATATATATATATATTTATTAGCAATGTCGAATTTACTGTATTTAAACTTCAATTTTCCAATTTTGCTAACCGAACGCTCCTTCGTGGCCAAATCGGTAAAGGCACGTCAAGCTGAATATATATATATATATATATATATATATATATATATATATATTACTTGCTTTTTAATTTCTCCTCAAAGTGATAATGCCACTAAAACTGAGGGTTTACTGGGTGCGAAAGAAAATGAGAAGAATTTAGAAGGAACCAGAAACCCAATCCTAAACAGGAAATAAGAGATAAACCCCTGCTCTTGTTTTACTTTATTACTGTTGCTTGCCTAGTTTTGACTTGCATGTATAGTGTTTGCTTCCTATGATTTTTGGTCTGTTCTTTTTTCTTTTGCTTATTGTTTATTGAGAATTTTGTCAATTAAAATTAATCATTGCCAGTTACTTCATATCAAATATTTTTCTGCTAAATACTCTTTTCTTTCTTATTACACTTTTTTAGTTTTTCACATTTCTTGTAACAATCTTAAAGCTAGTTCATTTTAGCTTGCCAATAATTTCAACATCTTTGTTTTTATTATTGCGTTATATATTTCCAATTCTTTTTACAACTCCCTATGTTTTGTTCCTATCACTCAATATCCTATTTCTTTTTTAGATTACATCTTTCTTATGACCCATAGCAATGTTTATATACCTGAAATTAAAAAAAATGAATTTATCAATAGCTGTAATAATCTATACATTTGCAATATGATGAACAACTCCTGATTTTCATTAACCACTTCACGCCGTCAGATAATTTATAGTAAATATTTTTAATAAAAATCCTATTTTCTATACGCTGAAATTCATGTCTTCTATTTATGAGATAAATACATGCTGAAACATTGACCAATATCTATTGGTTAATAGCAATTTTATTTGTTAAAAATATCGACATTCATCTGACATAATGTTGGCTGTTCGCAAATTTGAATATATCATCAATATATTGAACATAGCTTTAGTAAAGTTTTTTTTTAAAAAAACTTGGTTAAAACCATAAAGTTCACTTTCTAAGCGAAAAGTAGGACTGAGAGGCGACCCCATAGCTACGCCATCATTCTGTGCGTATTATAATGGGCTTAGAAAGGCATTGGCGTGGTACATAATAGAATTTTTAATTCATTAGATTTGTATGGCCTTTCAACCCTTATTTAAGGCCAGAAAATATTTTTAGATTGAAAGAAATATTTTTTGCAGATAATAATGTTTTAGTGATACAGGTCTTACTAATTAAACCATAGCTGGGAGGAGAAGTGGTGAATTCATAGCATTCCCAAGGGTATTTATCCATAAGGGAATATAACGAACCCAACGGTAACTGGAACTCGGTTCTCTGAATAACAATTCCGAGTCATTATCCATTACACCACCCGGCACACCCAAGCTTACAGCACCTGGTATTCCCAAGCGGTCACCCATCTAAGTACTGACCAGACACGAGCTTTCTTAAATTCAGCGATCGTACGGAACCCGATGATTCAACGTGATGTGTCCGTAAGCTTTATAGAAATTATGGTGAATTGTTGATTTAATAATAATAATAATAGATGAGATGTGGAAGAAAGGATTCCCCCATTGTGGTCATCATTAAATCCATGATATAACAACACCGTATTTCACAGACGGAACGGAATAACTGAAAGAAAAAAGAATGATAAACATGCTTTGTTCTCCGAAAGTGTTTTATTATGCTAAGCCTAATATATATATATATATATATATATATATATATATATATATATATATATATATATATCCCATACAGAGAATTTATGACATGTATGCAACAACAAGCAGTGTGTAAAAAAAAAAGGGGGAAGCCTTTAGTTGTAAAATTTCTCGAAGAAAAAACTGGAGTTACAGAGGTTTCCCTATGTGATTGATGAGGCCATGTGCTTTTTCCTGTAAGATCTACCATTGTGGGCTAGTGATGTCCCTCTCCCAGATTTATATCACAACTGCCCTTTGTCACTCTATACCCAGACGTCACTTACTGGTCGTCACGTCACCATCGTAACTTTATCACGACGAAAGGGAGACAATCGCATTTTGAATCCCTACATTAAGAACAAAGATTTTTTGTATGTATCTTTGCATTATTATATCCATAGTTTCTTTTTCAGGGACATTATTAAATATACTTTCTACATTATTAGGTTTATGTGAGTGCAGAACTTGAAGAAAGTCATTAATTATCCTTACGTGGTAAATACGGTAGGCCAAACCGTGTTATTGTTTTTGATAAGTGATTTATGGGAGTAGGAATTTATGGAAGTATCGAATATAACATTGAATAGAGTCAGCATGAGGTCTTAGTTGCGCTAAGCTTTTAGTGCTTGTCAAACTCTCTGCTTGAAGACAGAGAGGAACCCAGACGAAGCTATGCCGAAGGGCAGAGTCTCGTATGGGGAGGTAGACAAACCCAACCCCGTTATTACGGGCCCGGAAAAACCCACATTAAACCGGCCTTTTGCCACATCCTGTGGGGAGTTCGGATAAATACCAAATATATCATTGAACAGTTGTGTGTTTTTACATTCCCATATACGTAGGCTTCAGTCACTTTCCCACCGTGTAACATAGCCTATCTATGCCTTTTCTATAAAAACTTTCATGGTAATTGCCCTGATGAACATTCTTCTATAGTGCCCCATGATGAACATTCTCTGTCTATTTGTTATTGAACATTTTTTTGGACCTCCAACCATATAAAACTTATAGTCTCTTTTGTCCCCTCTGTTTTTTTTCTTGATTTATTTGTTTAAATTGAACCCTCCAAGGTTTTTTTTCATTTTGATAGACCCTCGTAATGTTTTTTTTTTTTGAAAATATTTTAAATTTGAAACTCCTATCTTAAATTACCCAGGGGAGTTCACTTGGATATTGAGTAATATTTCATTTTGACTTAAAATCCCCCAAAAAGCATGTATATATAATCACAATTTGATTTTTTTCCCATTTGGGTCATTCATCTTTTTTTGCATTTAAAATTAAATTTAAATTTGAACAAAATGAAAAGGAATAGTGTGATATAATTGGGTCATTAATTGCAGCTAGCTAAGTTTAAAATAAGACAGATTGAAAACCAGTTTTTCTCCCATCCTTCTTTTGGCCTTGTGTCATATTTCTGTATTTTTAAAAATAAATATTATTTCGTCTATGTTACATTGAATTTTCGAATTTAAGTGCAATACTTGATTGGCGGCAAAATCTAATCATTTTACAACTTAAATAGCTATATGTAAGTTCTATGCGAATACTTTCTTTTCTCGCACTTCTCGCTTGTAGAGTTCTTTGGCGGCTTCTCGCTTCCCTATCAAATTTGATCTACAAAAATATATATGCAATGTCAATCGTTATCTCCTGTCTTCTTAATTATTGCTCTTTGATTGTCCTCTCTCCTTAATAGTAGTTTTTTCCCATGTTCTCTAACACTCAATAAACCCTTGCATCTTAGCGATTTTATTTTCTTTCTTTCAAGGCGTAGGCGTTCATGACTCTCTACAACTTCCTTTCATTTGCTGCACTCAGAAACTTTTATTTTACTCTTTAACATCATTCTTTGTCCTTTTTTTTTTTATCTGCCACCCATTCACACAAACTCGTTAAGTAGATTATCTTTTCGAATTATAATATCTTTCTTCTCTCTAGGTTCTTTTGAAGCTTGCTTTAATGTTTTAGCTAAGAGTGGGGTCCATTTCCTGTTGTAACGGTTACTTTTAATGTTTTTACCGAGGCTCGTAATCAAAGGGGAGTTTTGTTGTCTTTAGCGGCCGACAACTGTAGAATTGCTTAAGTAGCGTCTCAGTTTCTGTGTTGTTGGTTTTTTTTGGTTTTTTGTTTTAGTTTTTTTTTAAGATGGTTTATTAGAATCTAACGTCCGAGGAGAAATAACATTTTGATTTTGTAACTTCATATTAAAACAGCATAATTGTATATGAATTATTACTTTACGGATTTTTTTTTGTTTTTTCCGAACTATATATCTTTTCTTCAGTACTGTCGGATCTATATCCATATTATTTTTTGCACAAATACTGTTAGCTTATATATATATAAAGATATTCCAGAGGTATTATAAACTGAATTGATGCTGATTTATGCATTTCGCCGGATATGAAAGGAGAATATTATTACTATATCGGGAGATTGACCACAGATTCTCCATTGGTACTTTGATTTGTTCACTGGTGAGGGTTGCCATTGTGTTCGTGCAGTGTGACAATTTTCAAAATGTCCATCTTGAACAGTCCATTCACCGATGATACATTTACTGATGATACAATTTTTCAGGGCTAGATTCATTTCCAGTGTTAGACTAAAAGAAAGGAAACCGTTGTTTCAAATAATTTTCACAAAAAAATGTATATCTAATTGAGCCAATTTGGCAGTATGTTTTCAAGATATAAATCCATTTTTAAAATCTCGTAATTATGGACAAGTTTCTTATTAAACTAGAATCCATATTCGTCATTTCGTTTTATTCCGAGACAGTCATCCATCTGAAAATGGCCTTTTTTTTTATAAATACTAGAGCAAACATCAAGGGAGGCATATTTTGAAATGTCTAGAAAAATAAAAATAACTAATTGATTGATAGATTCGTTTTTTTTTTTTTCCATCTGAAGGTGTTGGCTTTATTTATCAGGGAGACCTCTTTTGTCAAAGAGACTGTTTGTTTGGTTTGGGCTTGCGGTACCGTTTGTATATTATTTAAAACCAGAAAATATTTTTAGATCATAAGACTTTTTTCGCGGTGATGGGGAAATAATAATGAGTTTCGTGATACGTGTCCTACTAATTAACCCCTAGCTGGGGAGAGAAGAATTGGATTCATACTGATATAATTTAATATATTTGCTTATATATATATACATATTCCAGAGGTATTATATACATCTGAGTTCCCCTCACTGAAATATGATTGTCTGGTGTCCGTCAAACTAAATACAGACGGACGTAAGGCTAATTGAGGTCCATATTCGACAGTGTTTTTTTTTTTTGTACTAGTTCATGACGACGCCCATTGAACTACGTCATTGGTCTACACTAATTAACCCCTATTTGGATTCATACTGATATAATTTAATACCATACGACTACCCTCATGAGTGCCAGTCTATTACTGCTATCGTGTACTACTTGGTTGCAGTAAGCAAAACCACTTAGCTACTTCGATCAAATATATCCCTTTCCGGGACATATCACATACCTTATCCAAGGGCACTTGCGCGCAAGTGAATAGAACGAATCCAACTAGGATTGGGACTCAGCTCTTCGATTAACAATCTGAATACTACATGAAAAAAAGAATAAGGACAAATTTTGGAGGCATTATCCTTCTCTATTCATCTAGCCGTTGTCCTAACCCCCGCGTGTAGATCCGCGACTGCACTAAATATCAGTGTTTGTCCCCGATATGCTTGTCAGCCTAGCCTTATCTAGGATGCCTACATAAAGAAAAACCGGTCGACAGTAGATATATAAACCCCCACCTTAGAGGGAAACGAGAAGAGTCTTTCAAAGTCTTGGTGAAATTCTTTCAAGGTATTACATCACCCGCATATCCAAGCTTACAGCACGTCGTATTCCCAAGTGATCACCCATGTATTTACAGATTAGATTCTACGTTGCTTAACTTCGGCGATCGTACGGGAACCGGTGTTTCAACATGATGTGGCCGTAAGGCAAAATAAAAAAATAAAATTTAAATAAATGAAGTTTTTATTTGCAATGACATGGATATGAAAGACAGAAATGGTTCAATTCAAAAGAACCAAAATGTTGTAGTCAGGAGGGGGAGGCCGAAAGGCCATGTTTTTTTGTTTTTTTTAGATCACATATCTGTGAAGAAAATATTTAGTTTTAATAATTCAAATAAAACTTAATTAATGATTAGTCAAATTTTGCGAACAAAAGTTAATTTAACTGAATTCATTGTATTTTGCGTCGCTGTTGTCACCAGTACCCCCCCCCTATGTGACAATTATGGTTCATGGTGACTGTCAAGGCCGAATACCAGTTCCTTTTTGCACCTGGAATGTTGAGATTAACCCGTTCCTCCTCTTTCAACTTAACTCCTAGCCAATACCATAAAAGGTAGGACCTACAATGCAACAGTTGGTTTGAACTCAGCGTTTCATTCTCCTAGACTGGTTGCCATCCAAGGCTATAGAACGCAGTCTCTCCTGCTATTTTGCCTATAACTAAGGGAAGAAGATGGATTCATATCTTTCCCAAGGGTATTAGCATGTAAGTGAATCTAACGATCACGACTGGAATTCGAACTCGGCTTTCAGATTCCCCAATACAAGCCGCTATCATTACTCTTCCTCCTTTTTGTTTGAATAGAGAAAGGCTAATGTCATTATTCTTTTTTTTCATGTATTATTCAGATTGTTTATAAACTTATTAACTAAGCAACGTAGATAAGATTATAAAGAAAAAGAAAACGCACTACGAAACTCGAACCTCAGTTCAGTAACTTCGGGAATTATGGCTAATACGGATTAGGGAATATTCTTAATCTCGGATTAAGAGCGTTTGTTAAAATAAAATTGTAGGTTGCAAAAATCAATTCGGTTTTGGGGTTTGTTTATAAACAAGAAAAAGGTGAGAGGAAGTTGCAATAAACTTGCAGTATGTTACTCATCTCAAATGTTTTGAAAATGAACTTTGAACTTACGTCGGGACTTCAGAGAAGCCAAGTGCATCGACGGATCGACATGAGATACGTTCTCCTAGCCGCCGCGTGCAGATCCGCGACTGCACTAAATATCAGTGTTTGTCACCGATATGCTGGTCAGCCTAGCCTTATCTAGGATGTCCACATAAAGAAAAAACCCGTTGACAGTAGATATATAAACGCCCACCTAAAAGGGAAACGACAAGAGTCTTTTAACATCTTGGTGAAATGCAGAATTAAAGTTCGGATAGGAACCCAAAGCCACAAATCCACTGACGGAGGAGGATTGACGAAGTACTGGGTTGAATATAATATGTTACGTATGCGAGATTTAATCTCTGTACGAGAATAACGTTGGAAAAAACTGGAAAATAAAATAAATAAGGGATCTGGAACAACAATGGTTAAGTTGGAAAAATATCAAAATATAAATAAGTTCATTTCGGACGCTATAGTAGGTTACGAAACCCTAGCAGCAGTAAAGAAAATACATATTTGGTTATATAACTCTACACGTATTTATCCATTTTTTTCTATATAGTCGACTTAATAGTCTTAAGATATTCAACTTTCTTTTCATCTCCGAAATTAACAATGAAAATTAATGCTCTTCTCTTATTTCATGAGAGCTAAGCGGTTTTCGTTTTTAAAATCCAAAGTAGATAAACTTTAAAGAAGTTGTTTGAGAAACGTAATATGCTATTTTGAATTAAGATATTAGCATCTGAAAGAGAGAAGTGGCAATAAAAAAAATGGATTGGTCCTGTTCCAAATATACGCATACATCGCTTCTAACACATCTGAAATCGGAGAGTTGTTTTAACAATAAATTGCTACTTAAGCCTCACTGAAAAACTAATAACCGTACTTGATTTCTGATGCAACATAAACAACAGGTTTCAGTTTCGAAAATTAAAGGTAGATATTTATAACGAAAATAATTACTAATGATTTCCACTTGAAAGCTTAAAAGAAAGGCGTTTATATATTTATGATCGCGTAAAACTGAATTATTTGACGGCAGATATATCCGTCGACCATTTTCAACTCAGAAAATGTTCTTAAAAGAGATTTGTTTGAGAATATTTCTTTCGGCTTAAGGTTATACTTAAGGAAGAATTGGCTAAAAACAGATCCTTTATATATATATAAAAGATGTTTGACAAAGAATTACTTGAGCTCAAGGCTGTATTCAATAAACATTGACTCAAGACAAATTTTATTAATAACATGGTTGTCTAACGAATATGATTTGAGCACAAGGCCGTATTATTGGGACATCCACTCAAGACTAAGTTTAAGCGGATTTTTCATGGTATATCAACTCATTAGACTCATTTTATACTGAAACTGTTTTATTTGGTTTATATTTAGCGAAAATGGACAGCCTTTGCTTTTGGGGTTTTTTCTAAATATTTTCAGATATAATCCAACTTATTTCAGAAATGTTTTTATTCTATTTATTTTAATATTTTCGAACAGTTCTTTTAAGTTGGTTAGTTGGTTGTTTGATTTTGTTCAGCGGCATATCAACCACGATGAGTCATTTAATGATGAAATCTAAATATTTTGAACATAATTTTACAGCTTCAACTAAATATATTTTAAATGCAGTTGTATGCCTTCAACAACAGATAAAATGTATGGTTGGTCATTTTGCTATAAAATATATTGTTGGTAATTCTACTATAAAATATATTGTTGGTTATTTTGCTTTAAAATTGTATTGTTGCTCATTTAACTATAAGTATGTATTGTTGGTCATTTTTTTTATTTTAAAATGTGTATTGATGGTATTTTTTATACAAAAATTCATTTCATACTTTCATAGTGTTCTTTTTTTTGTGGGTCAACTATTTACCCATAGGTAAGACTTTAAGAGGCGCTACCACAGCGCTTAAGAGTTGGTTCAATACTCCTCAAAAACTCCAAGTTCTTTTAGGCTGTTTTGCCTTGAAGAAATTGAGTCAAAATCAATGCATTCAATTAGAAAATATTTTCCCCTATATTGGGTTGGCATGTAGGACACTATGGCGGTTCTTCTTGTTTCATTAAGAACGAATGCATAATTTTACTGTGACTTATTCGTTGCAGTGTTATAGTAAAGAGATTCGGGATTCTCCATAATGGCAGGGGATTTTTTTCCTCAGGTCTGGTAAGATTATTTATTCATAAGCTTGGTATGTATTTTGCATTTTTATGCTCTATTCTTCCTGCCATTGATTTTACATGTGTTTCTTAATGAATGGTTTTAGATCAGTATCTGATTTTGGTAATTTTCAGAAACTAGTCTTAATGTCTGTTTAGTACTTTTTCCTGTTCTATCATTGCCCTTAATTCCTACATAGCTATGAATACAGATGAACAGAATTTTGGGGAAAGTAGAAATGGGACGGATTTTTTTTTTTTTTTTCAATATTTTAGCAATCAAAAAATTTCCCAGCTTTTTGTTTTTGATAGATATTAATACTGATATGGAATCAAAAAAGATTAGAAATTGTTAAACTCTTTCTTTGGCGATCATATCGAGGATTATATCTATCGCTCTGGCCTCTATACTAAATATGGAGGTTTCATTTGGGAGACTTTTTTTTATTGTTGCATTCTTAAAACTAAATGTACATCTCACTCTATAGCTGTCTTTGAAACCATCAATGATAAATGTGTACATATTCTGCTTATCGTTGTCTAATGTTTTGTAGTTCCTTTTGAAAAGTGACTGGATTTCTATTTTGTTTTAAGCTCTTATTTATACTGAGGAGCAGTTTGGGCTGCCTTGTTGTACAAGATGGGATTTTAGGTAGAGTGGATATACGTTTATATGTAATGGGAATTTTGGAAACTTTCACTCAAGAGAAATCCTATTTATAAAATTGTGTTTGAATAAAATTGAGTGAATAAAACCCGTACTGAAACAACGGTTTACGCAAGATAGATATCATGTATAAGCTTGACTAGAATAACTTTAGCCCACGGCCGTATTAATGCAGCATCTTAAGACATATTTTATTCATGAAATATGTTAGTTCAACGAATTCGTATTTAGTACATGGCCTACACTCTAAATAAGGTAATATTTTGTCAAAAATATTTTACCAGGTAACGATCTCTAGATATAGTCTCTTTCACTTACTAAATTCTAATCCATTAAGAGCATAAAACAACGAATCATTCTTAAAGTCATTTTTAGTAAAGCATGACTAAAATATAAAAGGCAGCATCAACAGAACGAAAAACTTGCCAATGACAATAATTGATTTATCGTCAGCTACAATTACAAAATCGAAATGACCGGACAATTATAATCAATATATCAATAATCAATATATCAATAGATAATCAATAAGAAATCTGAGGATGTGTTGAAAGTATTATTATTATTATTATTATTATTATTATTGAATGAGTGAGTGAAAGAGCAGCACGTTTACAGAGTGATGCTGTTGTACAAATATACGAATTCGAATATACCTATCACGACACCAAGTCTTATAATCGTATACCAGGCACACGCATCTCGGCCAAATGTGCTCAAATATGGCGACCAATTTGAATAAAAGCAGCGCATGAATTTGAAGGTGAGGTCTAATTCGAAATACCTCTAGGCCGGCTAACCCAGTCCACTGAGACTTGCTCCAACTGAAAGAACAGTCTAATATCTAAATGTGATTGCCTCACCCGTCAAATTTAAAATAAACAACCCTCTCAATAACCGGCCATAATGCGCCCCCACTACTCCTGTTCATGAACAGAAATTCCCAGGGAATCAGTCCCTGGGATAAATACCGAACTGGTTAAGTTCATATAAGTAACAAGTTAATCTATAGGACTGAACAGGATAATAACTGTAATCTATCTTAATTCACCAAGACGAAATATTGCAATGCGATGTTTCAAATCAGAAGGCATATATGCCGTAGTTGGTATAGCAATAAAATATTATTATTATTATTGTTGTTGTTGTTATTGTTATTGTTATTATTTTATGTTGTTTCATATCT